ACGAGCACTGGTCCAGGCAGCATCTTGCAGTTGTGGGAAGTGGGGGGGGGGCACAGAAAGAGACGGGAAAGGGAGGGAGGAAAATAGAAAGCCTTTTGATTTCAGCTTGCGCCTGTCCTCTATCTGCACAGTCAGTGAGTGACTTTATCTTTATTGTCTCTCTTCATCTGTTTCATCATCATCAGGTGAATGAATGGAGATTTGATGCAGCTATTTTCATCTGTGTTTGATGTGTGTATGGCAGATGCCTTTGAAGATTCCTGGGATGACACATGTGTAATTCCTTGTTGTGCTGGCAACGTGTGCAGCCTGCCTCACCTTAGGTAGACAACTCTTTGTCTGCATGCTTGAGTCAGCTGGCTAATGACAATCTGTGTTAGTGACATAGACGTGGCAGGAAGCAAGGTGCTCACACAAATTAGAGGCGGTTTCATAATGTGGCGAAACGCTCACAGATGAATTGTGATCCAATCTCAGTTTCTTCTTGTCTTCCTTGCTGTTCCTCCCAGTCTTCCTTTGTCGCTCTCGCTCCTTTTCACACAGGCGGACGCGGCTGACATCCTGCGTCCCCTGTGTGTTTAATTATCAAATCTGTGCAATTCAACTAGGGCAGCTTGTCTGATTGGAGACCTCGTATGTGAATGTCCTGTGGTGGTGGAGACAGCGAGATTTCCTGGCTGCAGTCCTCTCACAGTCAAAATGTTGCTGTTTTTAATTACGTAGGCTTGAAGCTCATATTAGTATCACAATAACATGTGAGATGTGATGCAGCAATAATGTTTTTCAATTATGTCAGAAAGGGCTACATTTTTTTATGCATATGACCTTAAATGCAGAAATGCCTTTTCATCTTTCAACTCAGTGACTAAGTGACTAATGTGTTTAATAACAAGTTTTAAAATCATTATTTTGAGTTACAAATTCACTGTGTGCTACAGGAGGATGTGAGACGTTGCATTGTTTTTTACCACCCAAAGAGAAAGCATTATGTAACCCTCATAATAAGCAAGTCTGGAGCTATACTAATGACTATTTAATTTTCTACCAAAGACAGACATTGCCGTGAACGAGCATCACGTATTTGAAGTAAATAACATTCACTGCTGAACCAATCCTATAAAACCAATCCATAATAATCTGGCTAGTATCTGCAATCTCTTCTCTTATATAGGTTATAGCTCCATTAAATATCCCTGTTACCTGTCCCTACATACATGTATGTAGGCAGAACAGATGTGCTGAAGATATTTCCAGTCACTTGTCAAGTGATAAACGCTCTGTTGAAGGAACAAAAATGATGTTGTAGCACTGATGCATTCCACGTGGCTGAAGTTTCACACTGTCTTTGTGAGGGATTACAAATGCAATATGTCTGTGTGCTTTCAAAAAGCAGCCATGCAGGCCTATCTGTCTGGTGACAGGAAGGTGTCCGCCTTGCTGGATGCTCAAGAGGGAGAGACCCGACTAACGTGCAGCGAGCTGATAGTAGCAGTAGGGTTCCTCCTTCCAGCAAAGCCTGACAAGGGCTCAGCATAGCATTGTACTCAGTAATAATATAGATAAAAGACTATTTTTGATCAAATTGGATGAACTTTATCTTGAGTAGTCACATTTTGAGATTTCACTGTTTTTGCAGGCCTGTGATCCAGTTGTTGGCAGTGACGCAGTTGAAGCAGCAGTGACTTTGATAGTTGAGTGGGTTTTACCAAGGGCCTGCATGTCATTGACCTTTTCTTCTGAATCAGCCAAGACACTTAGGATAATCATTACAGTTTTAAATAGTTAATAGTCAGGATTGCTCGGCTGTTAATGTACCAATATGTTTTTGTAGTAAGAGTATAAGCCTTGGATTGTGTTGTGATTGAGGGGAGAAGAAAGCAGTGTATCAGTGATGCATATTTCTGTATGTGGGAAGCAGCCAAAGACTCACTATGCTGTTTTCCATGTGATGTCTTGCCATTTGAAAGCGATTGTTTGCAAACTCATAATTTTCCCAAGTTGTAATTTTAAGTGGTTTTCCACCAAGGCAAACTTCAGCCCGTCTAAAACCACAGCAGAATCCATGTCTATGCTTTGTTAGAAAACAAACAAATGGGCTTTGGAATTCAATGGGAATGATATTTTTCAAGATGCAATACAGTGGAAGTCTGTCTGCAAGTTTCTTCCTTAGAAACGCATTGATACTGAGGAAATAAAATTTCAATTCCAATTAAAATACTTTGCCTATCCTTTCTTTCCATGCTGCCTAGCCTAATTCTACAGAGGCCATGCCGGGTGCCACATAACTCTAATTTCAATACCAACATGAAGTTAAGTGATACATTAGTTTAAGTAAGCTCTTTTTTCATAAACTTATCAAAAAAGTGGAATTTGAGAATGATATCAACTTGATTGTTATCACTCATTGTTCCGTGGATAGATTATAAATAATTATAATTCAGCTTGTGTAAGGGCCACCAGTTGTTGACGTTTACCTGTCTAAAACGTCACACGTGAAGCTAAATATTTATTTAGGGTGCACAATCACACACGAGGTAGCAAGGACTAGGCTACTTTACAGTAAATAAGGATTTTAATGATTTATCCGCAGTACGGCTGTCATATAAAACCCGGTCCGCCTTCCCCTGTTGTGTAAACCAGTTCTAATGTTTCTGACACCATGTGAAGGCAGCAGTACTGCCGCGTCACGTTGGAAGAGACCAATCGGATTAAACTGAGTTAAAACACGCAGGCTCACTCCAAGGAGCAGTGGGGGTTTCTCACCTCAAATGTTCAGATACTTTCTAGCATAACGCAGTTTCGTCTCAATAAGCCCACTTATGTTCTGCTGTAATCATTTGTTAGCACGGAGCACAGTGAAAATAATACGCTGACGATGTTTTGGGAATGTGTTGTTATTTATAGACTTGCTCCCCCCCCCCTCCTTGTCGTCGTTATGGTTTCGACCGATCCCTCTCTGTCAGTTTCAAGTTGCGCCTTCTCCTCTGCTGTAAGGCTGTCTGCTCTGGCCTGAACAAGCATCGCCCACTTAAATAATACACCAAATACTGTGGATTTTACCGCGAAATCTGGATCTGCACACGGACATGGATTCACCCTCGCCATATACGAGTGGATTATAAACACGCGGGATTCAAAGGTAATGTCCCTCCCGGTCGCTTGACAAACACGGTGTAATTTCGTTACCCTGGGATCCGCGGACTGCACCTCTGCACGTTTGGGAATGTCACGGTCCGGCGGTTTTAATAGAGCAGCTAACGATTTAACTGCGCGGTCCTGTAATAAATCCCACGTTTGTATCTGCATGGTACACGCGCACTGCTGTAATGGTACATTAGTGGTCATCTGCCAACCCCGATTTTAATTCATTGTAGCTATCAGCCTACAGATCTGAAGGGATAGCCTGTGGAATGTGGTGGCGATATTCACTCCCAATCACTTGTGTTGAAATGTCCTTATCTTGGACGAAATGATGCAGTCTAAAAGCTGTCCTTATTTTTGTTTATTGAAATGGCAAGGGCACCTTATAATACAGATATGCCTTTTTCACGTCAACAGCTTGACACCTGAGTATGTGAAGAGGCTGGAGGACTTTTGACAGGTTTTTTTGTAATTACAGTCACAGCTGAACTGGAAAAAGAAGCAAGTAAAGGATAATAGATGCTTGTATATGCCCTGTACCTGCTGTAAGCAATGCAACATGTACTGACCAAGGCTACCTGTGTGACCATGACAGTGAAGAGAAACATGACCAGTCTTTAGCAGCTCGTTTTCTTGCACTTACAGTCACAAACTGAATTAAATTTATGGGCAAGGCAGGCAAGCAAGCAGGTGGCTGGTGATGATGTTGTGGTTGAGTTTTTTGGGGGGGGTAAACTGTTGTGTCCACAACACAGACCAACACTTGATTTGTGCCCAGAGGTCTTTCATGTTGTATGTAGGCATCATGTCAAGTCCCTCAAATACTGTTACTGATGCATGATGTTATTTAATGCATCAGTAACAATAGTAACAGTAATAACAATACCATATATTAGTCCAGCTGACCCAGATTGGTCCATACATCAACACAAAGCAACAAGAGTCAGTCTGTGGCTAAATGGAGCGGCGGGGACCTGACAGGCGCCTTGACAAATGCTCTTATCCTATCTCAGTGGGGGGACAGAGCATTTGTTCTATTGATCAGTGATACTGACCTTTGTTGCATTCTGTCAGCCTCGTTTTTAGGCTGTAGCAACTTCATCGCTAGACTTGGGACATCTTCTCTGAGGTCAGAGAGTGTTAATCTGGATGTGCAAGCTCCGTTTAGCAGCGTGTGTTATCATAACTCACTGTTTTCCCTCCGAAGAGATCAGGATGTGGAGCAGAGAAGCAGGAGGATGTTTGCTTTTTGGCTGGCTCAGTGCAAGGAAGAACTGGAGAGGGCTGTAGTCTGGCTTTCTGGAGAGGAGCTGGGTCAGACTTTTATAAGTAACCTCTGGCGTGCAGCGTCCTCTGCCACACTGGTTGTTAACTTCGATGCAAAGATAGTTTTGCATCATTCTGACATTACAGTTTTATTTATATATAATTGTTTTTGTCCCCCCGCACAAAAACAGACATAGCTGCAGCTCTAGATGCTGCAATTAATCCATAATAAAGAATTTATCCTGTTTGAAGATGAGTCATGTTGCGGAGGCAAAACACCATTAAAATGCCCTTTCCTTGTGGTATGACTCACGCATAGGGCTGGGGATATGGCCATAAATGTTATCAGGATAAAACATTTCATACTAGCCGATGTTGATAATGATCACGATAAATGTCAAATCATTATTTCTTTCAAGTTTAAAGGCTGATTTTTTGCTCCTGAGTGAAAGTTAAAGAAGCCAAAGGGTTACTTGTGGTCAGAAATGAATTAAATTGAACATTTATTGAACATTTGTTAGATTTATATCGAGTGAAATAATTTTATCGCCCAGCCCTACTCATGCTAAATACTCAGAAGCTACCCAGGATAAAATGAATGAGGCTGATTTGAGCACATTTTATCAATACCGTCTATACCATGCGCTGCATCCGTGGAAGGTAGTTGAGGATGTGTAGAGGGAAAAGTGAAGCGGAGTCACTCTGACCTCACAGGGAGAGAGCGAGTTCCTGCCTGGCTCTGACCCCCACTTCTCACGACCTTACAAAGTACTATGGATTTGGAAACGCACTGCTAGATGAAAGGGCAGATTGAAGGAAGTCCTCTGAAGGCAGCTCCTGCTGTGTCATGAGTGGCTGGATGTAACCCAACTGTCAGGATTTTGCCAAGAGGTCTGTTACTGTGGTTGAATCATCAGAAGCTCGCCGTCAAGCCAACATGTGTACTGTAGCAGGGCTTGCCGCCAGTAAGTCCTTAAAAGGCGAGATGTAACTAGAGGCTGATGCCATGTTGTTAACATTTTTAGGGTTATGTTCTACACCAATCACTTAGTGTAAGGAAATTAGTGTACTGAAGGACAATTACCGTGTTACTCCTTTAACTGTGTCCTTTACTGAATGAGGTCAGTATTCTTAAGTGTTGAGTCAGACAGACACTGTAAAACCAAGAAGCCATTAAGATACTGCCAAGGGTTTTATGTTACTGTTTTCGGAATTAAATATATCTGAAAGTTCAGAAGTATAAACTCAAGACCTATGTGAAGATATAATTCACATTACTGAAGTTTTTGAGCTCCTGTATGGGCATGTGAGATGGTTGATGAATTGTTACCTCCTTCCTCAATACATCTTTAACTTAAAAACATGGAATCATACAGCTCACATTTGGAGGACTAACAGCCAAGCCACTGGTTGAAATTGTGTGACTACTAAGTATGGCCCCAGTCCATTTGCTTTGGTAATTTCTCACAGCTTCGGATTAAAGACTTACTTCTTGGCCACATCTTCCACCTTGCAGGTCCGAAGTAAGTAGGCCAGTAGGCCTGTGAGAGATGCATTCCTGAGGCCAGGCCAATGAGACTGTTTACATTCTGCCAGTCTGCTGACCCTTGAACACTATAGCAGAGCTGCTCAATCTTACCTTTCCCACTGTGTGTGTGATTAATGATTCTGATTGTCAAAGACTACATTTATTTAAAACACAGGTGTGCAGAGGACTGTAATACAAAGTTGCAGTTTTTCCTGTGTGGCTTTAATATAGTGTTGTAGAGGCTCACATGGTGTCTATATGACTCATGAAAGGCATCTTGTACGTGCCATTTGTCACGTTTCAAATCATTCCAATCAAAGTTCCAATGAACACTTATCCCAATTATCGAAGGTTTATGGTCTTGTTAAATGGAACTTGCTTTATTGCAATCTATTACTCATGGATGTCTGATTAAGAAAACTTGCATAGACTTCACTTGGTAAAAAACTTGGTAGCCTATTATGTTACAAGTCGTGAACATGCTGGATGGTCATGATGCTGGCTCAACATTGTGATGTCTATCAGCCATAGTTGCACCTAAACCTAACCATTTTTTCCTTAAACACTGGCTACTCAAATAATTATAACTCAAATAAAACTTTGGTTACGTGACTTTGTCTAAACCATGTCTCCAATAGATGAGAGCACCGACAACCAGGCTGCTGTTGCCTGATAAACGTAGGCCTTACTGTAACTCGTCAGGTCTTATTCTGACACATCTTTATTTTCTGAAACCTACATAACAGCTTGTCCTTTTCAGCTATAAGGATTCAGGAAGCATCCAACAGCTGCTCAGCCTATAGCCGTTAACCTTCCTCTCAGGCGCTTTCACTCCAGTAAACCGTTCATCCCTCTAGAGACCACATCATATTTCACATTCACTTGGTTCTATGTGGAGGAGCCGCGGGGCCTTGTTATCTGCCTATCTGGACAAGAGGCGAATTCTTCTCTGGCAGCCCTCGTGGAGAAACAAGCCCACTAAATGTTCTTTCCCCAGAAGAGAGTGAATAAACCTACATGGGTCTGTCCTGGTCTTTTATTCACCAGAGTGGCGCTGGAGGGGTGTCTGTGGGTTGCCAGCGTTGACCATAGTTGCCCTTTTACCCCGTGGCTTTAACAACATCTCATTGAAGCACACGTTCAGTGCGCTTTCAAATTGACTGCACTTCCTTAGGGCTGGGCGATATGGCCTAAAGATAAAATCTTCCATGATTTACGATTTTAATCCTTAAAAAAAAGTTACAAAAGACAAAGGAACTATTCAGGTATATTTTTGTTAGTTGTTTGGGTGCAGACACTTTGCAGAGTCCAATCATCTGTAATAAAATGCAGCATCAAACTCGTGATTGACTCGGGGTAAGGGAAACTTCAGCAAGCTGTCAAGGATCATGGGCAAAACAATAGTTTTTTTGCCATTATTGCCACCATTATTAGCTCAAGCCTATGTTTTGCTCTGCATAAATTAGCCAGACATGTCCTCTGCTCATAGACAAATGACATATTTAAATACTTTTTCTTACTTACCATTGGTTTAAGTGACTGCATCTCCTGACAGAACACCACGGTTGAATTTAAGTGTTACGTAACGAGTTGTTGTCAACTCGAATAACTTTGACTTCATCTGTCTCTCCTCTGCTCCGCTCTGTGTGCCCACACAGAGTCATGCTGCTGCTTTCAGCTGTTGTTCAATCACTGAGTTTAAATACACTTTACAAACAGTGGAAAGTATTGGAATTACCCAAGTTAAAGTGAAAATCTATTTTTTTTAACTAAACCATAAATTTAAATTAATTGAAAATTAGGGCTGGGCAATAAAACGATAATGATAATTATTGCAATATAATTAATAACAATATAACAAGTGTTCAATATATTGCCAAATATTTGATTTAATTCATTAGAATCACAAACAAATTAGCACTTAATTTTTCTGTTTAGATGTTTATTTTGTTGAGGAAAAGGGACTGAAAAATAGAGCTAAAAATCAAATTTTTTCATCAAGTGTTTGTCTGTATAGTATAGTATAAAGTATAGTTTAACCATCTGGCCGTTCAATTTTCATTCTGGGGCAAAAATTAGCCTTTAATCCTGAAAAATAATGATTTGACATTTATCAAGATAATTATCGAATGATATGAAATGTTTTTATCGTTACAACATTTTTGGCCGTAATAAAATGATTATTGTGCCGTGTGCCGTTTTGC